GAGAGGGACCCCCGAGCCGCCGGGAGCTCCCGGGCCACTCCCCGGGCAGCCCCCGGACGGGCGCGGGGGAGCGGCCACGCCGTCGCGGCTGGCAGGGATGGGAACTGCCGGGGCACCGGGGCAGCCGGGGCTCGGCACCGACGGCAGCCGGTGATGCCGGGGCTCTGTGCCATCGCTTGCCGGAGCCGTCGGTCTCCCGTACGGTCAGTGCTCGATGCCGTCGGTGGCCGATAGTGTCGGTTCCCGGAGCCGCTGCCCTGTGCTGCCAGGACTCGATGCCGACGGTACCATTAGTGCCGGTTCCCGGTGCCCTATCCCACCGATTCCCGGTACCGTTGTTGTCCGGTACCGTCAGTGCTCGGTGCTGCCATCGGCACCCGCTGCCATCGGTTCCCGGTGCCGACAGCGCTCGTTATCGCCGGTTCCCAGCGCCGCTGGTGCCCGGCACTGTCAGGATTCGTCACCATCGGTTCCAGGTACCGCTGGAGACCGACATCACCCGTTCCGGGTGACCCCGGTGCCCAACACCGTTAGTGCTCGATGCTGCCCGTTCCGGGATCCGTCTGTTCCCGGTGCAGCCAGTGCCCGTTCCTGCAGCTTGCCCTGTCGGTTCTCGGTACCGTCAGTGCCACCCGTGCCCGCTGCCGCCCGTTCCCGTGGCCGCCGGTGCTCGGCACCGTCAGGCTCGATGTCCTCGGTAGCGGCTGCTGGCGGTCCTCGGTGCCGTCATTCCCGTGACATCGATTCCCGGTGCTGTCGATCCCCGGCGCTGTTGGTGCGAGGTCCCGGCGCTTCCCGGCGCTGCCAGCGCCCGAAGCCCAGGCTGGCTCTGCCTGCCTCGGTCCCTACCCCCTCCCCGTCCCGGGTCTCCCCGCTCGCCTCCGCCCGTGTGGATGAACCTTCCCAAGCACGGCCGCAGGTCCTGGGGATCCCTGGAGCTGTGACGGCCCCAGAGCGGGCTTGGGGAAGATCCTCACCCTTGGAACCCCACTCCCGGCTCCGCATTCGTTGTCACCGCGGAGCCGCTGCCTGGGGCTGCGCCGACAACGAAGAAGCTGCCGATCGGTAGCGGCCGCCCCATCCGGGCCGGTACCGCAGTGTCCCCCCTGCCCTGCTCCTGCCCCGAGGCCCCGCGTCCCGCGGAACCAACGAGGGAACGAACGGGGCCGGGGCCGCAGCGGGGGCAGAGATCCAGCCCTGCCCTCGGCCTTGCCGCCCTGCCCGCGGAGCCCTGCCTGGTTCATCCTGCCCGGTTCATCGTGCCCGGTCCATCCCCTGATTCATCCTGCCCCGTCCGCCCCTTCTCAGATCACCCCAGCCCAGTTTGTCCTTCCTGGTCATCTGTCCTTTGCCGATTCCTCTGCCCAGTGCATCCTCTGCCCGTTTATGTATTCCCCGTCTATTTCTTCACAGGCAATCCTTGCTTAATCCTTCCCTGCCCCGTCCTTCCCTTCCCGGTTCCCCCTACCCAGTTCATCCTTCCCGGTCCATTTATCCCTGGCCAGTGTCCCCTGGCCAGTGTCCCCTGCCCAGTCCATTGCTTCCCGTTCGTCCCTTCCCAGCGCGTTCCTTCCCGGTTCATCCCTGCCTGATCCATCCCTGCCCGGTGTCCCACGCCTGCTGCATCCCTTCTCGGTCCATTTCCTCCTGCTCCACCCCTGCCTGATGCCCCCTGCCCAGGTGTCCCCCAGTGTCCGCCCCAGTCCTCCCGCTGTACCGACTCCCTGTTTCCCTCCTAGTTCCCTACAAATTCTTCTCGGACCCATCGGGGATCAACGAGAAGCGGAAGCAGCGGCGGATCCGGACAACATTCACCAGCTCCCAGCTGAAGGAGCTGGAGAGGGTCTTTGCCGAGACCCACTACCCTGACATCTACACCCGCGAGGAGCTGGCCCTCAAGATCGACCTCACCGAGGCCCGGGTGCAGGTCAGCTCCGGGGAGGGAGGAGGGGACTGGGGCTGGGGGTGGAAGGCTCTAATGCCACCAGAGCAGGCACCCTGACCACGGGACGCTGCTGCTCTGCTCCCCGCATTGGCAGGGGCGACAGGAAGGGACATGGCCTTGGCACTGCCGCAGTCAGGGGACACACTGTTGTCACAGCCTTGCCCTGCTGGGAGCTTGCGGGGACAGCCTGGCTCCCAGTAGAGTGCGGGCATTGGCTCATGCCACAGCGCTGTCACTGTCAGCAGTGATTTAGTCCAGTCCCAAACACCTCGAGGTTGGTGAGAGTCCAAGAAGGCCGGAGAGTGGCACTTTGCGGGTACAAATGTCCCCCGTGTGAGTGCAGGTTTTTCCTGGGGGATGCAGACAGCCCGTGTGGGTGCAGATCCTCCTCAGTCAGCGCAGACACCCTGTGCCAGTGCAGAACCCTCTTCACGGGGTCCTTCCGTGTGGGATCCCCCCGTGTCAGTGAATGCCCCCCGTTGTGGCTTCAGACCCCCCTGGTTAGTGCACGCTTCCCCTTTTTCGGAACATTTGTGCCCACAGGGATGTAGGGACCACAGGAGTGGAGGTCTTTGCCCCTCTCCCTCCCGGAGGGGATGGTGAGCGGACCCCACTGTTGGGGAGCCGTGGGGTGCAGGCTGTGGGGTGGGCTCTGACCGCACAAGGTGCAGCTGTGGGTGCGGTGTGAGGATGTCCCCTCCCCATTTCCCTCCCCAACCCCGGAGCACAGGCCGGTGCCTGGCACCAGCCTCACAAATCCACGTTGTTGCGGATACGCGGATCCCTGCGGTGATGTGGAAGACGTTTCCCGAGGGAACGGAGGGTTGTGAGACCCACCCCGGAGCCCGGGAGGGCTCCCCGAACCCCCAGGGACCGTGGCAATGGGTGTTCCCATCCCCTCCATCCCCTCCAGGTGTGGTTCCAGAACCGTCGAGCCAAATTCCGCAAGCAGGAGCGCGCGGCCAATGCCAAAGGTGCCGGCGGCTCCGGCAGCACCGGCAAGAAGTCGGAGCCGCGCTCCTCCTCAGAAGACGACGAATCCAAGGAATCCAACTGCAGCCCGACTCCAGACAGCACGGCGTCCCTGCCCGCGGCTGCCATCGGCAGCCCC